TTTGTATCTACGCAAGCGCCGGCTGGACCAGAGAAAGTGGATGGTTTTGAGGAGCTAGCTGCTGTGTGAAAGGTCACCCTACACTCCCTAGTCTATTGGGTGATCGATAGCGGCGCTACCTACAGCATGATACCTCGCGCGGACTTGCTCACCAAACTCGAACCGTCACTGGTGAAGCATGTTACATCGGCTCTGGTGCAGCATGGGCAAGGCCATGTTCAAAGGTGCTGATGGGAAGATGGTGGGCATCAAGAACGTGCTTTGGGTGCCCAACCTTGCTGCCAACCCGATTTCCGTGCGGTGGCTGCAAAATTCCGGCATGGACACGAGCTCGAAGGGAGCCAAGCCCTACACCGCAAGGCTTGGCGAGCGGATTCTTTGGGACCTTTACGAGGATAAGGACGTCTAAAACGAGATGTGGCAGAACCCTGTGGTCCGAATGCCTAAGGAGATGCAAGTGGCAGCAAGCATCAGCACCAATGGTGGAGCGGTTGGTAGCGGAGACAGCGCCAATGATGGTGCCAAGGAGAATGAATCCAAGAAGTGCAATCTTGGAGGGACCAGCAAGCAGTGTGAGCATAAGGAGATTAGTGCACTAGCCAAACAGCAGCAAAAGGGTGAGGAGAACCCTGAGGTAGCAGCAGAGCAGGAGCACGGAGAGAGCATGTGGGGCACTATTGCGAGTGCGGCATTCACCAATCCGACTTCGGCTACGGGCATGTGGCTCTGCCTATTTTGCAGCAGCTGGTGAAGGAAGAGATGGTTGCTGGCAAATGTGTGAAGGGGGAGCCCAATGAGGTACTTGGCTGCCCGACATGCATGCAAGCCAAATTCACCCGATTCCCGTTCTCTAGTTCGGAGGCAACGGCTAAGAGACCACTTGATGAGGTAGTAATGGACGTGGTGGGCCCGTTGAAGCTTGGAGCTGCTGGAGCTGAGTATTTCCTCAACATAGTCGACGTCTACACCCGCATGACCTGGGTGTACATGCTGTCCAAGAAGAGCGACATGGGTGAAACGGTGAAGACCAATTGGTTGCTGATGGTGGAGCGGCAACAAGATCGGCTAGTGAAGGCAATTCGCACCGATCGAGGGGGAGAAATTCTGAGCAAGGAGTTCTCGTTGTGGCTGAAGAAGAATGGCATAAGGCACTCCCTTACTATGCCATACTCCCCTGCAATGAACGGCCGGACAATCACGAAGACAGCACGCAGGTAGCTCATTGAAGTGGGGCTACCCGACTATTTCTGGCCAGATGCGGTGCGGAGTGTGTGTGTGGCTAAAAACAGAGCCTTGACTCACGTGGGAGCAGACAAATAGGTGCCCTATGTGGAGTGGATTGGAAGGAAGCCAACGGTGGATATGCTTCGGGTGTTTGTGTGCATGTCCATGGCACTTGTGCCTAAGCATCTTCGGCACAACAAGCTCGATGCCAAGGCGATATGGGCCGTACATTTGGGCATGGCTCAAAACAGCAAGGGGTGGCTTCTTTGGGACCCATTCACCAAGAAATTCTTGGTGAGCAGAGATTGCAAGTTCATGGAGAATCTGATGTACAGGGATTGGAAGGCGGAGAATGAGGCGAAGATAGGCATGCGGTTTGGGGAGGTGAAGAGTTCCGGTTTGGAGCATGTGGAGTTGCCTTTGGAGCTGAGTAGTGGTAGCACCATCACAAGGCAATCTCCTCTTGTGAATGGGGGAGAGGAGGCCAAGGATGCAGAGGAAGAAGAGGAGGAGGTGCAGCAAGTGAGCGGACGTGCACCGGCACTTCCTTCTCGCACTACGAGTGCTCCACGGATCCGAGTCACCCCGCAGCAACGCCATGTGAGCCTTCATGTCCCTACAGCTGAGGAGGAAGGAAAGGGCAAGAAGATAATTCAAGCCCCTAATAGGCTGACCTATGATGCATTGGGAAAGCCAGCCAAGTCAGCTCTGGCCGGAGCGGCACTTATGGTTGGAGATGACGAGGAGAGTGACTACGAGGAGTTTGCCTTCGCGTTCTTCTCTCCGGTGGAGATGCCGGGGGAACCAGCAACTCTCAAGGAGGCCTTGGAGAGTAGTGATGCTGCGGAGTGGAAGAAGGCAATGGAGAGTGAGCTGAAAAGCATTGAGGAGAACGGCACATGGGAATTGGCGGAGCTACCAGAGGGGCGTAAGGCGATAGCGTTCAATTGGTTCTTCAAAATCAAGTCCGATGCCGACGGCAAAATTGAGCGCTACAAGTCTAGGCTTGTGGCCAAAGGGTAACAGCAGAAGGAGAAGGTGGACTTCAAGGAGTTATTTGCTCCAGTTGTAAAGCCGACGACGCTGCGAACCCTACTCGCAGGAGCTACCATCAAAGGACCCTACTCGCAGGAGCTACCATCAAAGGACTCTACTCACGGGAGCTACCATCAAAGGACCCTACTCGCAGGAGCTACCATCAAAGGACCCTACTCGTGGGAGCTACCATCAATCCTACTCGTGCCGACTGACCAGCGGCGCCGTGACGGAGACCTTGTCCGGCGTGAACTTGAAGTTTCTGTAGGTCGGCGCTATCCCACCCGCTGTCACATGGGTCGCCAACGTCGGCGTCACACTGCTTCGTCGTCCACCGACGTTGCCTTGCGAGGAGCCCGCAGCCGCCGACGACTACAGCCCTCGCAACTGAATGCCACCGACTTTGCCGTCGGCCATCCGGAACACCCCTCTCTGCCTTTACGTGCCTCCCGCACTGCTGTCGACTTGGTCACCGGCGTTGGCACCCTGGTCAACGCCACCTTCGCTGTTCACCGGTTGAGGAGAAATAGGTCGGGAAGGGTGTTCCGTCTCCCACTTTGCGCAGATGCCCAGCTCGACGACCTCCAAGGGGAGGCTTGGCCCGAACTCGCCAGCCTCGTGGCGTCTCCTAGCATCCTCCAGCCGTGTCTCTAAGGTCTCTACAACTCCCGCGTCAACTACGGGGCCTACCATGGTGACGAACCCGGCTGCCGGCCTACGAACAAAATAGGTAGTGCGCAACTAAGTCAACTAGACTGAAGGTAATATGCGGTGCCGTCCACGCTCACCGCACCATGTGGAGATAACTCTATCAACGGGAGCTTGACTACGGGAAAGGCACGGGTGTTAGGAATGATCTTTGCATTCCTAACTCGTTTGCTTGTGTGTTCTCTGCTTGCACATTGACGAGGAAATTTTGCAAGAGTTCCACTAGCAAAGATTGACAACAATGGTTACACAATGCAAAGCAAGAATGGACTACATCATATGCTAGCAAGCATGCAGGCTGACTGCTTGCGCAGCTCGGTCGACCGCGCTCCAGCACTGCATGGTCGACCGCGCTCCAGCAGTGCAAAGTCGCGACCTGCCAACGCTGCAAGTCGACGGCGTGACAATGCTGCAGCAAGGCGGCTGCACAGTGTTGCACCCGCAGGACAGCAGCGCACCTGCTTTGCAGGTGCTCGCAGCTGGTTGGCGTGCTGTGCCTTGTCATGTTCACAGCGCAGACGCCAAGCTGACCATGTGCCCACGGCTGCACCTGATCTTCCACGTCGTCCTCAGGATACCACACAGAGGTCGGCTTCGCAAGAACCTCCTGGGCGACTCTCGCGCACCCCGCAGTGCTCGTCGTCCGGGTAACCGAGTCGACGGGGCAACCAGGTCGGCGTCCAGGCATCCAGGGCGACGTCCAGACGCCCAGGTCGGCGTCTCGGGGCCCAGGACGCTGTGCCGACTCCCAGGTCGGCGTCCAGGCACCCAGGACGCCATCCAGGCGCCCAGGACGCCGTCCAGACGCCCAGGTCGGTGTCCAGGCGCCCAAGACGCCGTGCAGACGCCCAGGTCGGCGCCACGAAGTCGGCGCCTCCAAAGGTCGACCTTGCCAGGTCGACCACCTGAACTCGGCGCCACTCCTCTTCGTGCCCGTTGACCGGCGATCACCACCGGTGGTCGACCACACCAAGTCGACCACACCCCTGGTCGACCAGACCCAAGTCGACCAGCCCTGCTGTCAGCTGACCACACCAAGTCCGCTTCACCAGGTCGGCATCACCAGTTCGTGTCAAACTTATATATAGCTTACATTGTGTAGGCTGTAGTGGGGTAGCCCATAAGGGGTACAAACCAATTAGGGTTAGTACTTGTACCCAACTCTTTGCTAGTTTATTCATTCTCGTTCATCATTCTGACATGGTTTCAGAGCAGGTCCTCAGCTAGGACTGTTTTTTTTTCCTTGGGCCCACCACAGCGCTACCTCGCTAGCAGCCCTCTGCAGCCCTCGTGCTGCCCCTCCTTCCTGTCACGACCTGTAGGCCCCTAGGTCCCGGCCCGTCGCCACCCCTAGGCCCGTCGCTCCTTGGCGTCGCCCGTCGCCCCTAGCCCGGCTCCCTGTCGCCCGTCGCCCGTCGCGACCCCCGTCGCCCGTCGCCCGTCGCCCCTAGCCTAGGCCCCTCGGCCCCACGGCCCCTCGCGACCCGTCGCCCCTAGCCTAGGCCCAGGCCCCGCGGCCCGTCACCCCGTCGCCCCTAGCCTAGCCCCCTCGGCCCCACGGCCCCTCGCGACCCGTTGCCCCTAGCCTAGGCCCAGGCCCCACGGCCCGTCGCCCCTAGCCTAGGCCCCACGGCCCCACGCGACCCGTCGCGCCCCTAGCCTAGGCCCAGGCCCCGCCGCCCGTCGCCCGTCGCCCCTAGCCTAGGCCCCTCGGTCCCACAGCCCCTAGCGACCCGACGCCCCTCGCCTAGGCCCAGGCCCCGCAGCCCGTCGCCCCGTCGCCCCTAGCCTAGGCCCCGCGGCCTGTCGCCCTAGGCCCCCCCGGCCTCGGCCCCCGGCCCCTTCGTTCCTAGCCCCGCGGCCCTACGCACCTAGGCCCTGAGCGATTCTAAGGACAGTGTTTCGCTGTTTGACCTAGCGACAGGCGCCGCTACTGCCCCTCCCGCCACGGCTGACAGTGCGACTCGCTCACAGTGGCTTACTCGCGACGCTGCTGCCCGCTTAGCCATTCGCAACCACCTGCTGTTAGCCGAATGCGCTCACTTCCGACAGCACAGGCACTGTACGACGCTGTATTCGCTCGCTACTCATCGCCTGCCACTGCTGCTCTAGGCCGCCTGCTTCTGCCTTACCTGTTCCCCGAGCTGTCAGCCTTTGCCACAGTAGAGGACCTTGTTTCCCACCTGCGCGCTAGTGACGCTCGCTACCGCGCTACTGTCCCTGCTGAGTTCCTTGACAGGAACCTGCCCCCGATGTTCATCACCCTCTACTTCATAGTCACTCGCCTCCCTGACTCTCTTCGCTCTGTCAGGGACCACTTTCTCTCACTTGACCCCACCTCCCTCACTGTTGACCTACTCGAGGAGCACCTCCTCGCAGCTGAGACTAGTGCAGTTGCTGTAGGTGCTGCTCGTGGCACTCCACGCACGCCCTTCTTTGAGGGGTGCTCCCCCTCCCACCTTGCCCCCTCCTACGCCTCTGCTGCTGCTGCAGACGTCCCTAGTGCTGAGGACGTCGGAGCTGCTTCTGCTAGTGCGAAGCGCCGCAGCAGCAAGGGCAAGGGTGGCAGGGGTGGTGGAGGGGGCAGCGGGAGTGGTGGTGGGGGCAGCAGTGGAGGTAGTGGAGGCGGTGGAGGTGGTGGCGGTGGTGGAACTGGTGGCCGGGGTGGGAGCTCTAGTGGCGGCGGTGGAGGCAGCGGTGGGAGTGGTGGCAGTGGCGGCGGTGGGACTGGTGGCGGTAGGACTGGAACTCGGCGTGGAGGTTCCGGAGGTGGCCAGCGGCAGCAGCAGCAGCGTCGGAGCGAGACCCAGTCGCCCCAGCAGCTTCGTGAGTGGTTGTTTCAGCGTGGGACGTCTGGGGGTAGCGAAAGCTGCCCGTATTTCATTCGCACGAGTGACCATGCTGGTCAGACATGCGGGAGGCTTCACACTCAGCAACGATGCTTCTCCCGCCTCGACGACGCTTTGCGTGCTGAGTTTGGTGACGAGGTCGAGCGCCCTCGCTGGGCAGATCTGCTTAGGTCATGAGTTGCTATCTAAGACCTAGACTTTGATGTTATCCTTTCTGCTATGTATGCTTTGTCTGTTAGTGCTGAGGGTGACTGTTACCGGTGTGTGCCACCTGACCCAGGTATAGAGGCTGCTGCTCTAGGTGCTAGTGAGTCTGGTACTCTCCCTGGTACTGCGCCTGCTGAGGCCTTACACACCTTCACGCTGGACTCAGGTGCCTCACGCTGTTTCTTTCGTGACAGCACCACTCTCACTCCTCTCCCTGCACCTGTCCCGGTCCGACTGGCTGACCCCTGCGGGGGCCCGGTCGTTGCCCGTTCCTCCACTGTCCTCCCGTGGCCGGCGGTTCCGTCCGGCTCACTGTCAGGTCTTCACCTCCCCTCATTCTCTACGAACTTGGTGAGTACCGCTGCCCTCCAAGATGCGATGGTCACTACCACCACTCCTGCGGGTCAGCGTGTGTCGATCTGCACGTGTACACGGACGGGTCGTCACCTGGCCATGTTCACTCGCCGGCCAGGGTTGAGTCTGTACACACTGGCTACCAAGCCTTCTCAGGTAGCTGCGTCTGCTCAGGTGTCCGCGTTAGGTCAGGTAGCACCCCCTTGCTCGTGTCGCCTCCTGTCGCACCAGATGCTTCTATGGCACCACCGCCTGGGTCACCCCTCCCTGCCACGCCTTCGTGGCATGCACTCCCGTCTCCTTGTCTCTGGTCTTCCCAGGTCTCTGCCTCCTCTCCCGCCCTTGCCTGCCCCGCCCTGCCTTCCTTGCGTTGAGGGACGGCAGCGTGCCGCTCCTCACTCCTCGTTTCCCCCGACGATAGCTCCCCTGCAGACTCTCCACATGGACGTGTGGGACCCAGCCCGCGTCAGTGGACAGGGCCGTGAGCGCTACTTTCTGCTGGTTGTTGACGACTACACGCGGTACACCACGGTCTTCCCCTTGCGCAGCAAGGGTCAGGTCGTTGATGTCTTGATCCCTTGGATCCGCGCAGTCCATCTCCAGCTCCGCTAGTGGTTCCGTGCGGACCTCCCTGTCCTGCGTCTGCACTCTGACAGAGGTGGTGAGTTCTCCTCCGACCTCCTGCGGGACATTTGTCGTGGGGAGGGCATTATCCAATCGTTCACACTTCCGGACTCCCCTCAGCAAAATGGGATTGCTGAGCGCCACATTGGCTTAGTCATGGAGGTCGCTCGTACCTCCATGATCCATCCGGCTGCTCCCCATTTTCTGTGGCCGTTTGCGGTCCAGTACGTTGCGCATCAGCTCAACCTCTGGCCCCGTGTCTCCTTGCCGGAGACCTCGCCCACACTGCGTTGGACGGGGAAGGTTGGCAATGTGCCGGTGTTCCGGGTCTAGGGTTCTCGTGCCTTTGTCCGCGATACGTCCGCGGACAAGCTCTCCGCCCGCGCCATTCCCTGCGTCTTCCTTGGCTTTGTCCCTGACGCGCCTGGCTGGCAGTTTTACCACCCTACCTCGCACCGTGTCCTCCCCTCTCAGGACGTCACGTTTGACGAGTCGGTTCCCTTTTACCGTCTCTTCCCCTACCGCTCTGCCCCTCTCCCTCCCCTGCCGCTCTTCCTTGCTCCAGATCCCCTTCCAGTAGACCCTCTCCCTCCTCAGGGTCTGGCTCCCTCAGGTGTCTCTCAGGTAGACCCACCCCCTGGTGTTGTGCCTGGTGAGGTAGCTGTAGACTCAGGTGCTGCTAGAGGTACTGCGTCTGCGGGTTCTCAACCTGGGGGTACTGAGACTGGGGGTGCTGAGCCTGGGGGTGCTGAGACTGGGGTTTCTGAGACAGGGGGTGCTGAGCCTGAGGGTGTTGAGCCTGGGGGTGCTGAGTCGGAGGGTGCGGAGTCTGGGGGTGCTGAGCCTCAGGGTGCTGCTTCGTCTGGAGATTCTGCTGGTGCTTCGCCGAGGTTGTCTCCGCAGCTGCTGCGTGAGTGGCTTGTTCGGCGTGCACGCCTTCGGAGTGGAGCTACCGGAGCTGGAGGTGCTGGAGCTGCTGGAGCTGGGGGTGCTGGCGTTACTGAAGGAGCTTGTGTTCCTGGAGGTACTGCGGCTACTGGTCCTGGAGGTGCTCGTACCCAGGGTACTGGAGCTGCCGGGACCGGTGGTGTTGGGGGCGCTGGAGCTGGAGACCCTACGGAGTCTGGAGCTGCTGGAGCTGGAGGCTTTGGCGCAGGTGGCGCTGGAGCTGAAGGAGCTGGAGTTGGAGGCAATAGCGAGGGAGGCGCTGGAGCTGGAGGTGCTGGAGCTGCGGACCTTGGCGGCACTATGCGGCCGTGACCATACTTCGTTCCCCTGCTCCAGCAGGTTCTTGATGTTCCGTCTTCTACTGCCCTTACTCCTCCCTTACTGTGTCCACCTCCTGACCTGTCGCAGCCGTCGTTACAGCCGACCTCCCCACTACCTGCCCCCTCTCCTTACACTGAGCAGACCGGCGGTCTTACAGAGCGTCGTACGCCTATGTCTCGTCTTGCCTCCCTTGTTCACACTGGTCGTCGCGTTCCTCGTCTGCGTCCTCCTCCTGTCCCGGGCACACACGCTATGACACTTCATCCTTCCTCAGTTCCACTGCGTGTTCCTCTGCCTGCTCCTCCTGAGTCCTCTCTTCCTGCCGTCCCTGGCCTGAGTCTGACCGCGTTCGTGCTACCAGTCCCACTGTCTCTCGTCTCCTTGCTACTGCTGTCACTGAACCTTCCTTTGAGTCTTCTGCCGCGTCTGCCCTCATTGCTGAGCTGCTTGACTTTGCTGCTGCCTGTCGCCTAGACTATGCCACTGCTCTTGTTGCTGAGTCTGCGTCTGCCAGTCCTCCATCCGTCCGGGGTGAGTGTGCTCTTGGCACGGACGTCCTTGAGGACAGGCAGGAGGAATTTGAGTGTCTTGCAGCTGCTGTACCTCATTTCGCTTCCATGGTGCTTGCCCCTGAGGGAGACCCGGATGCACCAGACATCCCGACCCCGCGCTCTTACGCAGAGGCAATTACGGGTCCCTACTCCTCTCAGTGGCAGGCAGCCATGGATGCCGAGATGACATCCTGGAAGTCCACAGGCACCTACGTCGACGCAGTTCCCCCACCTGGGGCGAACATAGTCGATGGCATGTGGATTTTCAGGGTGAAGCGGCCGCCGGGTTCTCCGCCTGCCTTCAAGGCGCGTTACGTTGCTCGAGGCTTCAGTCAGCGACAGGGGGTTGACTACTTCCAGACCTTCTCCCCCACTCCGAAGATGACTACTCTTCGGGTGTTGCTGCACGTAGCTGCTCAGCGTGACTACGACTTACACTCCCTGGACTTCAGTACAGCCTTCCTGTAGGGCAGCCTGCACAAGGAGATCTGGCTGCGCCGCCCACCTGGCTTCACTGGGTCGTTTCCTGCAGGTACCTAGTGGAGCCTCCGCTGGCCAGTCTACAGTCTCCGCCAGGCGCCTCATGAGTGGCACGACACACTGAGGACTACAGTTGCGGCTCTTGGGTTTGCTTCTTCTACTGCTGATCCGTCGCTGTTTCTACGCACCGACACCTCGCTGCTGCCGTTCTACGTCCTCGTCTTCGTCGAAAACCTGGTCTTTGCCACTGGTGACACAGAGGCACTGACCCTTGTGAAGTCGGAGCTGCAAAAGAGACACACCTGCACTGACCTGGATGAACTGCGCAGCTATCTTGGCTTGCAGATCACCCGGGACAGAGCACGGCGCACCATCACCCTGACTCAGTCACACATGGTGCACCTGGTCCTTCAGCGCTTCGGCTTCCAGTTCTCCTCGCCACAGCCCACTCCTCTATCTACCAGCCACTCACTCTCAGCTCCACCTTCGGACGAGTCCGTAGAGCCGAGTGGTCCGTACCCAGAGCTTGTGGGTTGCCTCATGTACCTGATGATGTGCACACGACCTGACCTCGCGTACCCTCTTAGCCTCCTCGCTCGCTACGTGGCTCCCAGTAGGCAACGAAAGGTGCACTGGGATGCTGCGAAGAGGGTTCTGCGTTACTTGTGCAGTACGTTGGGTATGGGGCTTGTGCTTGGAGGACGGGGTCCAGTTGTCCTCACCGGTCACGCAGACGCTTCCTGGGTTGACGACTCAGCTACGCAGCGGTCGTCACAGGGTTACACCTTCAGCCTTGGCTCTGGCTCTGTTTCCTGGTGGTCTACCCGCTCGTCTTCGGTTCTCAGCTCCAATTGTGAGGCTGAGATCTACGCCGGGGCCATGGCTGCACAGGAGCTATGCTGGCTCACCTACCTACTGACTGACTTGGGAGAGCAGCCTCGTTCGCCTCCAGTTCTGTACGTAGACAACAAGGACATGATTGCCTTGTGTCAGGAGCACAGACTGGAGCACAGAGCAGCACAACTCGGAGAATAACCACTCGTTGTGGACACTACATGCAGCACGCCGTCACCGCACCAGCCATGCAAGAGGGCATGGCTCCTACTGCTGCACGTCGTCGCCACCGTCGCTGCCGTCGGCCAGGCGCACTTGGCCGATTGCGACAGAGCACTGGTTGAAGGCCGGAAAGTGCAGCCCCTTTGTCAGGAAGTCGGTCGGCTGCTCGGTGGTCGGGATGTACTTCAGCGAAAACTTCCCGCGCTTCATCATATGCTGCAGCCAGGCATTGCGTCCCTCCATGTGCTTGAGGTTGCCCTGCAGCCCCAAGCACTCGGCAACCGTGATGTCACCGCGAACTGCAGCGAGCCAACCATCTGTCGGTACTCCTTCTCCTTGCGTTCCTGAGCCTCCTCGTCGTTGAACGTCAGCTTGGCGTAGGCGTCGATGGAGACGAGCGTCTTCGGCACTCGACCGCCTTGCTCCTCGTCGATGAAACGCTTGCGCAGCTTGTCGGCGTAGCTCTGCTCGTGCAGCCACAGCTTCCTCGCCGTCTTGTCGCGCATGATCTCCAGCCCGAGGTGCTTCACCACCGGCGAGATCTCACACAGCTCAAAGGCGGCCTCCAACAGCTCCTTCAGCTCCTTCAGCATCGCGGTGCTGCTGCTGGCAGCAAGCAGGTCGTTGACTTAGACCAGCACCCAGCAGGTCACCCCATCATCACCGACCTTGAAGTAGAGCGCCTGGTCGACCTGGCTATTCTTCCAGTCGGCGCCGACCAGCATATCGTCGAGAGCCTTGTACCACAGCAGCGGCGACTGTTTCAGCCCGTACAGGCTCTTAAGCAGCTTTCACACCCGGTCGGTTCCGTCGCTGTAGTAGTACGGCTAGTACATGTACAGCACCCTGTCGAGCTTGCTCTGCAGGAAGGCATTCTTCATGTCGAGCTGCATCAGGTTGAGGTCGAGGATGGCGACGATGCTGAGAAAGATCCTCAGCGTGACGTAGCTGCTCACCGGCGCATATGTCGCGTCATAGTCGGTGCCATACACCTGCGTGAAGCCCTTCGCGACCAGCCTCGCCTTCTCCCGGGCGACCGTGTCGTCAACCTGATATTTGGTCATCAGGACCCACCGGTTCTTCATGATGTTCACCCTGCGTGGGCGGTCGACCAGCTCCCAGGTGCCCATGCCGATGAGACTGCGGATCTCCTCGTCCATGGCGGTTTTCTCCGCCTTGCCCTTTCAGCTCGCCAACGCCTCCTTCACCGTCATCGTCGCGGTGCTCGGGGTCAGCGTGCATATCGGGGTCGAGCTCAGGCAGGTTGATGTCGGCGTCTGCGTCGTCGAGCAGCATGGTGAAGGTGGCCGGCGGCACGCACACGTAGTAGGTCAGCTGCTTAGGCGGCCTCCGGAGTGGGCCTGAACGTCACAGCTTAGGCTCCTCGGTGTTGATCTCCACCACGTTGCTGTCGTTGGACTCCTCGGCTGCCGACTGCTCCCCTTCCTCGTCGTCCTCACCATCTTGCTCCTCAACGGTCGGCGTACCTGCTGACTTCTCCCCTGTCGTCGGCTCCCCTGCCGACTGCCCAGTCGCCCACTACCCCTTGGTCGGCTTCACTATTGGCTTCTCCCTTGGCTTCACCCAAGTCGGCTGCACCTCCTCTGACTGCTGCTCCCCTGTCGACATCGACTTCTCTCCCACGCCGACTTGCTTGATGTCACATCGGCCACCGGGGATGCCCTTGACCGGTGGCACAGACGACGCCCCACTGCTCCCCTCATCGCCAATGGCCAACGTCATTGTCAGCTCATGCAGGTCGGCTACAAGGGGCGGGGCAGGAGGGGCAGGGGAAGGGGAAGGAGGGCGGACGTCCTCGGCGTCCTCATCAGCAAGCTCACCGACCTCGGCGAGCAAAGGGAGTGTCGCCGTCGAGGTGTCCGTCGGCGGGTTGACCTGCGTCCGCCCCGACGCCAGCCCGTGCTTCGATTTCCACACCTGCAGCAACATGGTCTCGTATAATACCACGTCCGACGTGGTGACCACCTTGTTGTCGGTGAGGTCGAGGAGCTCCCAGCCTTTTCTCTCCTCCGATACACCGAGGTGAAGGCCCCACCGGGCCTTTGGCTTCAGCTTTCCACCGCGCTGCTGCTCGGGGACCAGGAACTGCGCCATGCAGCCCCACACAAGGGCCAGCGTCAGGTCAGGCTTCTTGCCGGTCTGCAGCTGGTACGGCGTCGTCCCCGGCGGCAGCGTCGACCTCTCCAAGCAGTTGCGCACCCAGACGGCCTGTCGCTGGGCGAGGTGCCACCAGTGGTGATGCACACCCATGTGCAGCAGCATCGTTTGCACCGACTCCACCACCATCCGTATCTCCCGCTCCGTCATGCCATTCTGCTGCAGTGTGTAGGGGCAGGTCAGGTCGTGGACGATTCCCTTGCCGTCCACGAAGTCGGTGAACTGCCTCCCGAGGAACTCCCCTCCCTAGTCAAAGCGCAGCATCAGCACCGACTACTTCGTTTGCCGCTCAGCCACCACCAGCCACTTCTCGAACTCCCGCAACACATCGGACTTCTTGGCAACCGGCTTCACCCACACGTAGCGGGTCTTGCGGTCCTTCAGCTGCAAGAAGTGCAGGCTTCCGTCCTTGGCAGCCACCCAAAACGGCCTGCAAAGGTCGATGTGCGCGGCAGCCAGGGCGTCGTCGGCGTCCGAGCCCTTGTGGAGGAAGGTGTCCCGCGATAGTGTACCGCAAACGCACGAGACACACGGAGAGTCGGTGCCGGCTGACGACTTGATGTCCAGGCCGGTAGCGACCACGTGCTTCGCCGAGCTCATGATGGTGTCGACGCCCACATGCGCAAGCCTCGCGTACCACCTGGCCGGCGTCGACTTCGTCGCAATAGCGATGGTCCGCAGAGCCACTGTTTCCGTCGTGGTCGACGTCGACGTTGCCGTGCACGGACGAAGGTCAGTGCAGAGGACCTGGTCGGTGTATGTTGCCCGACCTAGGACGTCCCCCGCTGCCGAGACGAGCAGCATCCTGTCTCCATCATCCTGCAGCTTCACGCCACTCTCCTTCAGCTGACCGGCCGATAGCAGGTTGGCATGCACGCCCGGGACGTAGAGAGCGTCGGGGATAAGCACCTGCTTCCCAGCCTCTCCTTGCAGAACGACAGTCCCATTGAAGCCATGAACGTGCTTGACGTCGCCGCTCGCCGCTCTGCCGTAAGATCTCCATCGTCCCCATCAGGTGGTGCGAGCAGCCGCTGTCAAGCAGGACTACCGCCGGGTTTGCCTGCAAAGCTGCCGCCTCTGCTTGGAAGTCCTCACCGGCCTCTAGCGCCAGCGAGACGGTGGGCTCCACGACACCGACCAGTGAGCACGACGCCTCCCCGTTGCCTCGTCCCTTGCCGCCAGAGGAGGAGTCGGCGTCCTTCGCCGACGTCGACTTGGTCGACTGCTTCTCCCTGCACTGCTTGCTCTCCCAACGCGGGCGAGGACCGTTCGACCTCCCTCGGCCTCCCTTGGTGTCGTCGTCGTCGGACTCGCTGCGGTCGGGGCACTCGAAAGAGAGGTGGTCGGGGTCGCCGCACAACCAGCACTCCTGACGTCTACTTCCTCCTCCACGACTGCAATCCTTGGCCGACTTCCCCTTGTCCGTGTCCTTGGCTGGCCTCCCACCTCCGGTTCCACCGCTGCCAGGCTTGCCGCGCTGCCCCGCGGTCGAATTCCTTGCTTTGTCGGGGCGACATAGTTTGCCTGCGGCAGGAACTCTGTGGACTTCTCGGCCTCCTGCATCACATAGTCTCGGAGGATGTACGATGTCAGCGAGTCCTCGTTGAGCGACTCCCTCGTGCCCGGCACCACCGTCAGCCATTCATCAGGTTGTAGCTCCTCAGGAGCCCTTTGATGAAGTGCGCGATGTATGACGCCGTCAAGTACTCGACGCCGGCCATCCGCATGCAGGCAAGAAGACATCGAGCTCGGTT